TGTGCTTTGTGCTCGTCTAGCAACCGCCAAGATACCTACTATAACCCGACACATTCTCACCTCTCCATGTTGTCAATGGCATCTCTGTTGCAAATGACATTGCCACCAAAGACCGTGCAAGACTGGATAACTGCACAAAGCACGCGTCAGAGGATCGAGAGCTCACCTTTGTCTGATAAGGACAGCAGACTACCATGCGGCGTTGGCAGACTTCTTGCCTCTTGCCCCAAACGTTCCCAGGCCATTAGACAACCAGATTGTCCAGACAATACCCACACTGGGGCTTACCTGTGCTTTCTGACCACCTTCATGGCATCTCCACTTTCTTCAGCTCTTTCCACTCACATATTGATTGCAAATCGCCGACAGACGGGCCAGGAGAGACTCGACTGTCCGCAGCCGGGGCACGGCCTTCGTTTGAATATCGGTGTTGCACCGGCGCGCGCCCCAAGGTTTCGATTTGCCCTTTTGTGTCAGCACAACCGCAAACGCATTCTCGGTGTGCGTCTGGAAGCGTCTCACTCCTCAAGGCTCCCTGAGACACCTTGCTGCACAACATACCTCTTGTCCAGTCCTGCTTCGACCGTTTCACAGCGCAGCAATAACCCCCGATCGTTTGTTTGCTGGTTGATTTGGGGGATAGCAAGCCTGAGTTGAATAACGTGCTTTTTCGGCCACAAACCCCAGGTTCTCGAAAGTTATCCTCTCTACTTGTTAGCATGTCAGGCCAAGAAGAAACTGCCTGGTCTGCCAGCTCAAAAGACAGCAAAAAATTGCCAAAGTCGTCTGAGAAACTCGCGTCAGAACCTTCAAACCAGCCAGACCCAGACCCAATCGTCCAAGCAGAGGATCTTCCAGTTAACCAAGAAAATCTACCATATCGAGAGTCTACGATACCACCATGGCGCTTTGCATTTCTCTGCGTTGGGTAAGAATATCCGCACGAAAGAAGCTATTTTGGATGGAGTATTTGTTAACTGATGAGTGTCTCTTTGTGTAGCCTCTGTCTTGGTCTCTTCATGGCCATGATGGATGCCTCTATTGTCGCCACCAGTCTGTACACCATCGGTGTCGAGTTCAACGATCTTGAACATATAAACTGGGTCGCACTGGCATACTCTCTGGCATTCCTTGGGTGCTCCGTCTTCTTTGCCAGTATGTCCGATGTTATTGGTAGACGCAATGCATTTGTGGTAGCCTTTGTGCTCTTCTTCGCCTTCTCGCTTGGCTGCGGCTTTGCGCACAATATGGCTACCTTGATCGCTTGTCGAACGTTTCAGGGAATCGGTGGTGCTGGCTTGTGAGTATCCAAAAACACATGACAAACATGGCTGGCGTTGGTTAACTTACTGCTGGTATTAGATTCTCGGTGACTATGATTACGTTCCCGGAATTGACACCAAAAAAGCTCAAAGGTGTCATCGCGCCTCTTCTTGGAATGATTATTTCCTTCGGAGGCATTCTCGGCCCGGTCCTTGGTGGCGTGTTCACAAAATATGCGTCGTGGCGATGGGTGTTTTGGCTCAAGTCAGTTACACGACTTCTTTGCCGGACTGGATCTGATGTTCACAAGGCTACTTTCTGTACCTCCTCGTGAAGACCGGTTGTGCTAACACGTTGCAGTGGGCCGCTCGGGTTTGTGTCCATGCTTCTCTTTTACGCAGCCTGGCCGAAAGCTGAACATCTTCCCACCCTTCAACAGCGGTCTTGGAGAGACCTTGACTTTTTGGGGTCCTTTCTGGTCGTTGCAGCCGCTGTCCTCGTTACTTTTGCATTCCAAAGCGCAGGCACAGATGTGGAAGCAAACAATCCTTGGATCTCGGGATTATTCATCGGTCCACTGGTGACCGGATCCATCTGTTGGGTCGGGCTCTTCCTCTGGCAACATGTCTTTGAGCGTACCTGGCCCCGCAAGATGGCAGCAATACCTCTTGGTCTATTCAGGAACCATATTTTTGCTGCTGCAGCTCTGCACACAGTTTTCCTTGGGTTTGCCTATTTGGCTGCGCTGTACGCTATACCATTGCGTCTGCAAGTTGTCAATTCGAAGAGTCCCATCATGGCCGGAGTCATGATGTTGCCCATGCTTGGCGCAACTGGCGTAGGCAGTGTACTCACCGGCATTTTGAGCAGCAAAACTAATCGACTCTTTGAGACAATGACATTTGGAGCAGTATTGGTTACGCTGGGACTTGCCTTGGAAAGCACAGTCTCTGACTCTCAGGTCCTTGAGCAAAAGTTCCTAGGCTTCCTGGTCTTGCTTGGTTTGGGCATCGGCATGATTAATTCTGCAGCGACTATCTTTACGACAATAGAGGCGCCTATTCCGGAGCATGGTATGCCATCCTTCTTTGCATTCTTTCACGTCAAGTTATTTGAGTACTCGTTCAAAGAGTTGATCTAAGACTAACAAATGATTACTGACTAGCTCCTGCACAAGGAATCATCGCACAGTCTCGAATGCTTGGAGGCAGTATTGGCATCGCAATGTCATCTGCAGTCCTTGCAGGTCAACAAAGGGCACATTTGGCCGGTGTCGTTTCGTTATCCGACCTTCAGGACCTAAAAGAAGCAGAGCAACGCCTCACTCCAGCCCAGCTTACTGCGATCCGTACAGCCTACAACAATGCCTTTACCGAGACCATGAAAGTGTGCGCCATCGTGACGGGTATTGGCGTCCTCATTGCGCTGGGCACCTACCGCCATGGAAGAGTACCGCTTGGAGATCAGAGAGCTCAGCAGGTAAAAGCAGAGATTGAGCGCCGCCGCGCTGAAAGAGAGCTCGATGTTCAGGGCCATCGGGCAACACGTGTGGTTGTTTAAGCACCCATTTACGAGACCCGGCTGCTTCTTGAACGAAAAGTTGGATTGCAGAAAAGAGCGTTGAGGGTTGCGTTCCCGATCCTCGGTTGGATTCGCACATCTCAGCTTCCTACCTGTTTACTCAACTGAAATCATCAGGTCCTTTTGCCACGTTCTTGAGAAGCTGAGCATCTTTTTTTGTTTTCTTTCTTCCTTTCTTTCGTCAATCGGGAGCGTCGTCGGCGTTGAGTAGTTGGCCCAAAGGGCCGGATTGATAAACCGTGGTTATGAATGGGCAAAATGCCCTCATTCGAGGCTTTAGACTTGTATATCAGCATGATGGCGATACCTTTAGCGCTGACAAGGTACTACGCAGCGAGGAATGAAATCGGGTGTATTCAGATCATTGCCTGTAGACATTGGAGCACCATCTTCGCACAACTGTCATTTGGGACTTGTAATGAGGGGTAAAGTTGCTACAGCTTATCTATCATCCGTGGTGGGGCACCTTCTATAACGACAGCCGGATTGCGTGCTATGAGTAATATCTCCGTCGACGACTTGTGCATGTTCTCAATTGGTTCATTCCGCTCTGCTCTGGAAACCAAGAATATAAATTGTCTTCTTGACCAGGATCTTCAGACCTCATACTGCACTGGACTGTAATTACATGTTTTCTCAAGCCATAAGAGCGTCCCGAATCCTTCGTTGTGGCCTGTCGTTCCTGACCACCACAGCCTGTCGTCCATTGACTCATTCGACTCCTCATACTGCCGTCGAACTAATATCTCGCACCATGGCCTCCTCATCAGCAGCTCGACGTCTCCAGGACAAGACGGTGCTCATCACGGGCGCGTCCTCGGGCATCGGCAAGAGTACCGCACTCGAATTTGCGCGCACGGCGCCTAGCAATGGGCTGCGCATCATTGTAACGGCGCGGCGGCTTGAGTCTCTGCAGCAGCTGGCCGCCGACATTGACAAGGAGACATCTGGTGGCGTCAAGGTGCTGCCGGTCCAGCTGGACGTGAGCGATCCGCAGCAGGTGCGCGGGTTGGTGCCGGGCCTGCCCGAGGAGTGGAAGGGAATTGATGTATTGGTAAACAACGCGTGAGTCCTTCCACTCTCTGATCCAACTACAGATGGCAGATGAACAAGTGACAAAGACTGACTTGAGCCTTCTACCTGTTACAGTGGTCTTGTCAAGGGTGTTGCCAAGGCTCCCGAGATTGCAGAGGAGGATATCAAGGTCATGTTTGACACCAACGTGACGGGTCTAATCAATGTGACGCAGGCCATCCTGCCCATCTTCAAGAAGCGGCCCAACGGCGGCGCCGGCGATATCATTAATGTCGGCTCAATTGCTGGCCGCGACCCCTACCCAGGCGGTAGCATCTATTGCGCCACCAAGGCCGCGGTGCGCAGCTTTACGGATGCGCTTCGCAAGGAGCTGATCTCTACACGCATTCGCGTCATTGAGATTGACCCTGGCCAGGTCGAGACGGTATGCACACATATACGTGACACGGGCAATTGACGAGGCCAGCTTGTTGACTTACTCTTGGGCATGGTTTGCTGAATCGCTGTTTGCAGGAGTTCTCGATTGTTCGGTTTTATGGAGACAAGGCCAAGGCTGATAAGGTTTACGAGTAAGCATCTGTGCATTCTTGTGTTTCGGAGATGATTCGGAGAAGAAGTGCTGATGACTGTGATAGGGGAGGTGAGCCATTGACACCTGAGGATATTGCCGAGGTCATTGTCTTCACTGCGACACGGAGGGAGAACGTTGTGATTGCCGACACGTTGATCTTCCCACAACACCAAGTAAGTTGCTAACTTGTTTTGCTGAAGATCACTTCATGCGCTTGAAGAATACAATCGCGAATGCTCTGCTGACCTTTCATGGTAGGCCTCACCTGGGCATGTCTTCAAGAAGTCGGCTTAGGATAGGGAGTGTGGCTCGAGGAGAATGGAACTCGTCTGCTGAATGGACGCCGCGAGTAAATCGCAGTAAATACCACTATGTAGATCAGAGATACGAAACATCGAGATGCTCGTCTAAAGACAACTTCTCCAATATTCCGAATCTGAAGATGTGTGGCTGTCTTAAGGATGTTGGTGTGTTAGTGCTCTGGGTAAGATTTTGTTGGTATATATTTTATTAGATTGCACCTGTGAGCACATTTCACAAGTGAGACGTAGGTTGTGTAGTGTAGTGGTTATCACTCCGGATTTTGACGTGCAAACTTCGAAACTTCCGGCAACCGCGGTTCGACTCCGCGCTCGACCTTGACTGATTACATTTTGCACGTCGTTTTTGTGTAATATTTTTATTTCTCACAAGTTGAAAATGTTCTACTAGCAAGGCCTCTGCGCTTACTGTCATAAGCCGTGGCTGTCGTCTTGCAGAAGTGCTTGTCTTGCTAGAAGAGGCCAAGCCAGGGCCTGACCCAACTCAACATTGAACCAAGCAAGCAAGATGCGATACTCGCACAAAATACTGGGCATTCCTCTGACACAGACCGGACAACACTCTTTGAATCTTTGATCTACCGACACAGCACGTATTCTCTTCAAATTCTTAGGCTTGCTCGGGATTGGCTACCCGTGCGGAAGAGCAATGGGTATCAAGGGCCTAAGTTCTGCCCTGAAGACGCTCGTCTCGCAGGCTCAGTTGCATGGTCGGGCTGTGATAGATGGGCCTGGCCTGGCCTTCTTCATCCACAGTCTTGCACGGTCTCTTGCTGGATCGAGTACGGTGCTGGATGAGCCAAGTTCTGCGATGTTGGTTGAGTTGGCCATCCAATGGCTCGATGAGCTGCAGTCTGGGGGTGTGAACATGTGAGCCTCCTGCCTCTCTCTCTCTCTCTTCCTCTCCCTCCGTGTGTGTATGTGTAGGTGGGTCTCATTGGCGCACAAAATGATGTATTCACACTGCTGACAGGTTCACAGCGCTGCCATCTATTTCGACGGTTATTTGCCCACCTCCAAAACAGAGACCCGCATACAGCGACTCTGCGAGCGGTCGCACGAGGCGAACAATTACTTTTTGGCCACAGTCTCAGGCACGCACACTGTCATAAGCAGGAACGTGAGCGGGAGTAGCTCACAAAGACTGCCCATAAATCCGTTTATTGTCCCCGCCGTTCTCGAAGCGCTGCGCTCACTGGACCGGTACGCCGTCCTCACACATCTCGTGCCTGGAGAAGCAGATCCGTACTGCGCCCGGGATGTGTGCCTGAATGGCGGTACTCTGTTGACGGGGGACTCTGACTTTCTCTTGTATGATCTGGGGGCCACAGGAACAGTGGCCTTTTTCAGAGATGTTTGTGTCACGCCCCAACTGCGGGATGATGGAAAGAAGGTATCGCTCATTTCGGCTCTACGATACGATCCTGTGGATATTTGTCGCAAGCTGTCTCTTGAGCCCGGGCAGCAGGGCATGCTAGCTGCTGCTTTTGAGATCACATCAAGTCCCGTCAAGACATACAAGGCACTGACAGCGACTCCACGATCACAATGGCAGTATTTGGAACCAGCCCAGGCTGATAAATTTGCCGACTTTTCGGCGGAGTACATGGTGGCGCCTGGCGAGCTCAGATCCAAACCAGATTACTTGAAGTACACCGATCCCCGTGTTGCGGAGTTCATCTTGGACTGGGCTGCTGTGGCGGGCTTCAATGCTACTCCTTCATTGTCACAATCATCACCAGCTTCGCCAATACCCAGTGCTCCAAGAGACCCTGTGGTTCACTTGCCCTTGTTGATTGATCGCTGGGACATGGGCACTGGCTGGAATGCCTCTACCGTGATTCGCCAGCTGGCCTACAGTCTCTGCCGAAGCGGCGGTGACGCTATTTCGACAATCACCGAGTATCGACGGACGCTGTCCCTGTATTCTGCAGGGCAGGCAGTAGAGCTGCTCGCGGCTTCAGAGGTTCCTGATGTTCTCCGCGACACCCTCAGCTACACGCTTGAATTCATCCAGGAGTCAGCAGGAATAGCAAAGATGCAGACAACAACAACAACAACGCGACTGCGGTGGATTACAGCCTGTTTAGGGTTTGAGATCGGGCAAGCAGCCAGCGAGGGCAAGGAGTCTACCACTGTCAAGCTTCTACGCAAGGCCAGCACGGCGAGATCCGGAGTGGAGGGTCTTTTGGATCCCAGGAATTGGGACGTTATCCACTTGGTTGCGATAATTCAAGGAGTGCTGTATTCTCTGCGGATGCTGCGACAGGTTTTGATGTGCCAGATTGGCGAAATCTTTACACGGTCGGATACAGATGGACGGCTGAACGAGATGCGAGATTGTCTTGCTTCCTTGCCGTGTATTGCAGAGTATCCTTGTCTAGCAGAAATGGAGTACTTGTTTGAGCAGTTGGACCAGGCTGGTGCGTTCAAAAAGCTTTCAGCTGTTGTTGGCATCAAGGAGCCTTCGTTTGGAAAGACGGGAAAAGGCTCAGGAAGGGCGGGCAAGACGGGAGCGAAACAGCAGAGGAAACACTCGAATAAGGCGGCAGGATTGTCGAATCCTTTCGATGCCTTGGCTATGGACGACTGAAGCTACATGGAGGTGTCTAGGTCGATACAATCAGAGAAACTCGCCACGTCGTTATTTTCGTTCGTCACATGCTTCGATACCCGTGCTCTTTCTCTTCATGCTGCCCTGATAAAGACGCAGGAGCAGCAGGAGGGAAAGGAAGGCAAGAGGGTTAGGGCTGCTTATCAGCGCCCTTATCAGTAGCTTTGCTACCGCGTCGTCAGACCCCACATGTCACACGGAACCAGCCAACGTTTTCCCAAATCGAACCACCAGCTCCACCCAAAAATTACGCGCTTAAAAACATCTGCTTCTCCCCCACCCTCCTCCTCCTGAGCCCGGAAAAAAAAATCTCGTCACGATGCGCAACACACTGGTTTTTGGAGGCTCGTCCTGTCCAGCACTCACACACAAAATATGTGAGAATCTGGGCATTGCGCCCGCCGAGGCGGAGCTGACACAGTTCTCGAATGTGTGTGCCAGTCTGGCCCTGCATCTGCTTGTTTTTTTTTTCTTAACCTTCAGCTTCCCAGCGTCGTCGCCAAACTCGAGATGGCCCGTTACATGCTCACACAATTTTACTCTTTACAGGGCGAAACAAGCGTCAAGATCTCCAATAGTGTCCGGGAGAAAGATGTCTTTATTGTACAGTCGGGCAGCCCCAAGATTAACGACACTATCATGGAGTTGTTGATCATGATCTCTGCGTGCAAAGGAGGTTCTGCCACCAAGATCACTGGTGAGTCGCTGTGCCTCTCGGCTGGTCTGGCGCTCGTTCTAGCATACCGGTGCTCCTTTCTAACAAGTCGATTTTCTTGCAGCCGTCCTTCCCTACTTTCCATACAGCCGACAGTCGAAAAAGAAGTCACATAGGGGTGCTATCACTGCCCGGCTACTGTCGAATCTGTTGGGCGTTGCTGGCGTTAAACATGTCATTACTGTCGACCTTCACGCGTCCCAAATGCAAGGGTTTTTCAGATGTCCGGTCGACAACCTCCATGCCGAACCGCTGATTGCTCGCTGGATTCGTCACAATGTGCCAAACTGGCGAGAAGCTGTGGTTGTCTCCAAGAACGCCGGCGGCACAAAGCGTGTCACGTCTCTTGCTGATGCGCTAAAGCTCAACTTTGGCATGGTTACTACCGATCGGAAGCGAGGCGGCGATATGACGCAGAGCATGATCATGAACCATCTGGAAGCACTGGAGCCACTCGAGCCAGCTGCCAACCGCATTGCACGCAATAGCTTCGCCGAGTCACTCACGCCAACTCCCCGCGCACTGGCTATGCAGCCGAGCCGAAGAGATGAGGATGAGCAAGATGTTACACCGCAGCCAGACGGACTGCAGGTGCAAACTAGCCGTCAAAGTGTGGCAAACGGCTCTCCGACGCCTGCTTCAGAGCAGAATGGAAATGGTAATCACACTGAGAGTGATGCACTCGATTACAACGACCAGAGAGCCTCAGAGGTAATTCATGGCCGCCTGGTACAGGGGCACATTGTGCCCGATGACTTCCCTTCCCCAACCACGTCAGCTGCAGACACAACGATTCCTGACGACGACCTCATGTCTCAATCGCAAGCTTCGTCGTACTTTGCACCAGATGGTCATGCGTTGGGCGGCTCTGGCGATGCTGAAGCGAGTTCAGACGAGGACGAAGACAAGCTCAAAGACCCCAAGATTGAGCACATGATCACTCTTGTGGGCGACGTCAAGAACCGGACCGTCTTCATCATCGATGATATGATCGACAAGGCTGGCTCATGGGTCGCTGCTGCGGAGACGGTGGTGAAACGAGGCTCTGCGAAAAAGGTCTATTGCATCGCCACCCACGGTGTCTTTGGTGGAGATGCCCTGGAGCAGATGCAAAAGTGCGAATGCATTGATGCTATTGTCGTCACAAACAGCTATCCCATCAGTGACGAGCGTGCCAGAAACGCGTCCAAGCTCACTGTGCTCGATTTGTCTTATCTTCTTTCCGAGGCCATTCGACGCAATCACTACGGTGAATCGATCAGCCCGCTGTTTCAGCACATTCAGGACTAGCGTACTGACGCTTGTCGGTAATATGATATGGGCTTCACATGAAGCGGTTTTGGTCACGGCTTTTGTGTATTATCAGCTGGACCAAGGATAAAACCAACAGTCTGTCATAGCGAGGCGTCAAGGTATGGTTATTTGCACCGCCGTTATTTAGGCGTTCAGGACTGGTCGAGACAACAGTTTTACCTATTGACTACACACGAAAGTATTGAATGGGCGACACAGATATTACACCCAATACGATCTGCTTCTGCTATTGCACGTGTGCTAACCACACGCTCGAAACCTCTTTCTTTTTCTCTCTTTTCACTAGGTCTCATTCCCCTCCAGCGTTGCTACCCTTTGGTAGCAGGGGCTCAATCCGCTCTCCATGGATGAGTTCTTAACGGACCGTTGGAAGATTAATTTGAGGAAGAAGGCTTGCTGTCATGACTATTGTCACCTCTTCGGGGGCGCGGGCAGTGGGCAAGATAACACCTTAATACATTCGTAGCTTGCGATGAGTTCCTTCAATGAATCATCTCCTTGATTTGGATGCGCAATTGCGTGAAAACGGATCTTACTCAGAGTCCAACCATCTAGCTTTAGCATACAAAGCAAAGAATTCTACAACGATGACTGCAACGTCGATAACGTCTAATGTAATGTGAGAAGAGAAATTCATTCACGCCAAGTCTCCAGTACCCATCGGATCTCCTGTCAG